CCCCCGTGCAACCCAACATTAAATAACCCCAAACCTGTTCTCCCAGAACAAGGAGATTAACGAGGGCCCAGGTTGATTACAGTTTTACTTACAGGGGAGAAGAGCCTTAGTGAGAAGTTGTACTTTCCTAATTAGTCACTTGATTTTCCTTAATTACCAGCAGAACAGCAAGGAAGGGCCCAGCTCTGCACAGTAAAACATTAAGCAGAGCTGAGAGGAAAGCTCTTTGCCATCAGCTCAATTTTTCACTGATAAATGAAAATGCAGTTCCAGAGGGAAATGGATACATACAAACTCGGATTGTTTTCTCAAATGGTCTCTGGGGACATGGGGTTGTCACTGGGCTGGGCAGGAATTTAGCCAAGCCACAGATCGGCTCCAAGCAGCTCCGCTGCACTTTGACAAAGCACAGGGATGTTTAGGTCTGATTCTGAAAAGATGCTGAGGCCCTCAGGCTGGTTTCATCTCTGCTGAGGCCCTGGGCAGGTCCTCCAGAGCAGCTCCTGCTCCAGCCCCGTTCCAAGTGGCCACAAGCCACCGAGTGGGTCCTCACCCACTGGGGCTTCCGACAGGCATGGGTGGAGCCCCGTGGGGGGAGCCGGGAGGAGCCTCTGCGCCCTTGGCTGCTGCCCAGCCACCAAGGGTGCTGTGAGGCCCCCTCCCGAGAGCCACGGGCACGTCCAGACCAAACCACCCCCTACAAAATCACAGGACTTTATTTACAGAAGCGCCGCTGGCTCGGCTGGAGCCAAGGGGAGGGGTTTGCTCCAGGCAGCCACGCTGGGGTGGGGGGAAACATCGCTACAACACCAACAGGATGATGGTGACATCTCCCAGCAGGAGCACGCTCCCCCCACGGATGAGGGGGTGCAGGGAAAGGGGGTGACACTCGGCAGCACCTGCAGGGAAGGAGGAGCCCGCAGCACCGGGTGTTTGTTCTCTGCAGCCTCTGTTCACCCCCAGCCAAGCTCCTGGCACCACTCGCTGCCCAGACAGGGGCTCATGCTGTGCCCCAGCCACTTGCCTGCTCAGCCCAGAGCCACGAAGGCAGCCACACGGATGAGGGGGTGCAGGGAAAGGGGGTGACACTCGGCAGCACCTGCAGGGAAGGAGGAGCCCGCAGCACCGGGTGTTTGTTCTCTGCAGCCTCTGTTCACCCCCAGCCAAGCTCCTGGCACCACTCGCTGCCCAGACAGGGGCTCATGCTGTGCCCCACCCACTTGCCTGCTCAGCCCAGAGCCACGAAGGCAGCCAGGCTCTGTCCTCTCAGGCCCCGTCCTCTCAGGCCCCTGTCCCCACCTGACACAGATGGGGAAACCTGAAATTCCTTCCAGCTCTTCCCTGCAAAGGAGGAGGAGCTCCCTCCTCTTCGTTGTGGCAGAAAGATCAACACAGGAAAAGCAGCAGCGCTGGGGGCGGCTGCTGGGCACAGTCCCACCAGAATGGTGTTCTCTGAGTCCCTGTGTCCCAAACGCCTCCCGGGAAGGAAGCCCCCAGCAGCTCTCAGGAGTAGCTGAGGGGCATCCTCCTCCAGAGCCCCCCGCAGAGGCAGTTCTTGATCCAGCGCTGCTCCCACTGCTTCACCGCCGTCACCTTGTTCGGCGACTTCAGCATCGTGACGCAGCCGCACCTGGGAGGGAGCGGAGCTGCAGCCAGGCCCCGAGAGCAGCCAGCACTGCTGGGGCCCTGCAGGGAGGAGGGAACGGGCTCCTGGCCTTGGCCAGCGACACTGGCAGCGCTCTGGAGCAGCAGGAGTGCCGCTGAGCCCGCCCCGTGCCGAGGGGGCCCCCGGCACCCCTCACCTGGTACAGGACTTGCACTCCTCCGTGGGGTACGCGCCCAGATGGAGCCGCCGCAGGTGATCGATCTTGGGCTGCCCAGGTGCCCTGCGTAGGAAAAAGGGGAACTCTGCTCAAACATCACCCTCTAAAAGCTGTCTCCAGGGCAGCGAGCTGCATCTCGGTGGCCAGCATGACACAGGCTTTGATTCCCAGGCCACCGAGCTCCATGGGACTTGAGGCTGTGCAGACAGGAATCTCATTTCTAGCATCTTTTTCCTCTCCATTTGCCATCTCTTTTCAGTACTTCAAATTCCCAGCCCAGTGCAAGATAACAAATGAATTCAAGCAGAGAGGACAAGCTGCTCTCGGGTCACACCAGTGAGTAGCTGGGCCAAAACCTGCAACTGGCCCAAACTCACTGACCCTGGAGCTGCAAGAGACCCCAGAGCCCCCTCCACACCCTCTTCTCACTACCCCACCCATTTCTTTCAGGTCTTTGTACCTGACAAAGGCATCAAACTGGGAAGAGACAGTGTGCCCAACGAGCCCAGGAGCCTTCCCGAACTGGAGCCGGACCAGCTGCTTGTTCTGCAGCTTGCTGATGATGCCATCGTTGATGGGCAGCCAGTCGATATTGGGAATGAGCAACTGGCTGGGCAGGAGGCAACACTCATCTATCAGGGTATCGTCTGGCTCTGTGATGTGATTTTCCTCACGACCTGCGTGGAAAACAAAGCAGAGAACCAGCATGACCTTTAAATTCCTTGTTTAGAGATGGAGAGAACCGAGCATGGTTTCCTCCTCCGCCCGCCAACGCAGCGCCAACAACAATAACCCTGGCAGCTGCTCCTGCCCCCTCTGAACGCCCCGGAGCCCCTCGGAGCAACTCCCCCCAATTATCCCTTTCACCCACGATCCACATCATGGAGGGAATCTTTTGTTCGGTGCACCTGGCAAACACTTACAGCACAGCCAGAGCTTCGTCAGGAGCCTGAAGAGGAGGGACATGCTGTCCTGGGTGTCGGAGGTCGCCGTGTAGACGGGGAGGCAGCTGGGCTTCAGCAGCCCCCAGATGCGGATCACCACCATCAGCTCCCTGAACATGCCCAGGGAGGCTCCGTCCCGCAGGAAGCTGTGTCCTGGCCGGACCGGGGAGCCCTGGGGGAGGAACAGCCCAGGCTGGGGCTCACAGGCAGCCAGCCCGAGCCTCTGCCCTGCCTTCACAGAATTACTCAAGAGTCTTGGCTGGAAGAGACCTCTCAGATTGAATCCGACTGTTCCCCCAGCTCTGCCAGGTCCCCACTGCCCCGTGTCCCTCACCCCACATCTCCACGGCTTGGAAACCCCTCCAGGGGTGGGGACTCCAGCACTGCCCTGGGCAGCCTGGCACAGCCCTGGGCAACCCTCCAGGGGAACAAATTTTTCCCCATGTCCAACCTAAACCTTCCCTAGTACAACTTGAGGCCATTTCCTCTTGTCCTGTCCCTTGTTCCTTGGGAGCAGAGCCCAACCCCCCCCTGGCTCCAGGCTCCTGTCAGGAGCTGTGCAGAGCCAGAAGGTCTCCCCTGAGCCTCCTTTGCTCCAGGCTCAGCACCCCCCGCTCCCTCAGCTGCTCCTCCCCACACTTGGCCTCTCCCCCCACTTGGACCTTAGCCCCTTCCCCGGCAGCTCTGTTGCCCTTCTCTGGCCACGCTCCAGCCCCTCAAGGTCCTTTTTTGAGCGAGTGGCCCAAAACTGAGCCCAGGATTCAAGGTGCAGCCTCCCCAGTGCCCTGTCCAGAGTTTCAGACAGCTCCTTTTCCCAAGCAGGACACAGCCTATGGCACTCACTGCCAGAGGATGTCATGAAGGTCAGAGGCATTCAGAGGTTCATCAAAGGTTTAAACAAGATGGGCACATCTGGCCAGATGGGCACAGAAAGGGCCACTTCTGTTTCTTACACTCTTCTCCCAAGCGCCTGTACCAACAGGAGTGCCGGGGTCACGTGTGACTTGGCTAAAGCCACCCAAACACCACACAGATGTTTCTCCCCCCCTCAGTGTGTTCTCAGAGCTTAGGCTCTCACCTGGTTTGGAAGACTGGCCAGCAGGTAGAGCACAAAATCTCCCACCCACTGGATGAGCTGCTGCAGGGACTGCAGCGTGGTCATCTCCAGGACAAATTCTTCTGTCTTCAGATTAATCATCACCTTGTCGATGTCTGAAACAGACAACAGACACCTCTTGGCTCAGAAGAGGATGGATCCAAACTTCACCCCATCCCCGTGGTGCCAAGAGGGGTCACCCTCCTCTTCCTCAGACCGGGCAGTTACTGTGAAGCTCCCCGTTGCCCCCGGGGGCCGGGCGGGGGGCAGGCAGTACCGATGTCTGTGACCTTGGAGCAGATCTCGGTGAGCCGGTCGCCGGGACTCTTGTCGGGGGTGTTGAGGAAGTGGGGGCGCAGCAGCGACTTCAGGGTGCAGCTGATGGCGATGAGGAAGAGCTTCGCGTGGTAGTCGCAGACGCGGGCGAGGGTGCTGGAGGAGAGCTTGCAGAGAGAGGCCTTCATGGCCACGATGCGCGTGGACAGGACCTGGTCGTCGGACACCAGGGAAGGACAGCCGCCAAGGCAGAATTAGAACAAGCTCATGAAAACGGGCTGCCTTATTGTCTGCTCTCCGCTTCTGCCACACGAATGCCAGGACAGTGACAGTTCTGTGCACGTGAACCTGCTCTCTGCACTACAAGCAGTGCTGCTGCTCCTAGCAGCTCTGCCAAAAACAGACATTACATCTCACCGGGAGCTGCCCGCAGGTAGAGACCCATTAACAGTGGTGACAACGAGCCCTGCCTCAACAGAGCTGCTCCACAGCTCCAGTGCTGCTCGAGTGGAGTAGCCAGAGCCAGCACACCCAGGTCGTTAGGACCAGCCATCCTCTCAGCCCCAGCGACCGCTGCTCCCCCCCAGCCCCCCCCGTGTCCCACCCACCTGCTGCAGGGCTGCGTTCTGGCGCATGTACTCTTCGTGCAGCTTCTCCACCAGGTTCTGGACCATGTTGGGCTGGACGTGGAGCAGAATGTCCCACCAGTCGTAGCCAGTCACCATGCAGTATTCCAACAGGAACAGCAAGTGGCGGAGGGACATGTTCATGTCCAGCACGTGGCCCATGGACGGGGAGATGCGAAGCATGCTCAGCTGAATGGAGGAGACAAGGGAAAATCTGCATCAAGAACTGGCTTGAAAATATTTCACCAAGTTACACCACCAGACAGGGCCAACTGCAGCTCACTCCTGACCCAACAACAGAATCCGTGGTAACGATACATCCCTTCTTTAACAGGGATCATATGACTGGAGGTAACATGAGGGTCTAGAGCCCAAGTGTTGTGAGGAGCAGCTGAGGGACCTTAATGATTCCACAGTTCCCAGCATTTTTCTGAGTGATCCATCGTGACTTAGAGCCTGGATGAGAACAGCTCTCCTCTGGCCCCAGCCAGAGCACCACACCTTCCCATGACTGTCGATGCCAGCCAAGGCCAGGGATGTCCAGGAGAGCTGCATGGCTTTGAAGTGCACCAGGGGCCCAGCGGTTCGCTGCCTCTTGATGGCCTGCTCGTCCACGGGGCGCTGGGAGGAGGACCCGTAGAAGACAGCCATCATCTGCAGGGACAGGCGGTGGACAATGTGGACACTGCCATCGTGGAAAGCCAAAGCCAGACCTGGGGAGAGGAGACAACCGAGGCTGAGCCAGAGTGCTCCTGGTACAGCCCAGACCTCGCCCAGAGAAGCGGCCACAAGACAGCACCCAAAGGGCTCTGGGCTCACAGCCCCTTCCTATCCTGAGGCCACGCCAGCCTTTCAGATGCACCTTTTCCTGTGGAAATGGAATGGGATGGCCAGGAAGGTACCACGTCCTTGCAAGTCTTCCTACCAGTATTTCACCTAGTTCCTCATTCTCACCCCAGTTACAGTCCAGGAGATGAAGAAGGGAAAGCTTCAAGCAAAAGTGATGTATTTAGGAGGAAGACAACAGAGATTCCTTACCCAGCCCAGGGAAGAACTTGGTGTCGTTTGCCACCTTCAGATCAGTGTTGGTCAGGGAGATGGGCAGCTTGGGCAGAGCCACGGCCGAGACTCGATCCAGGTCGTTGGTGGCAGAGAGAATCCGCCACTTCAGGATCATGGGCTGCTTGTCTCCAACTTTGAAAAAGAAGTGAGACACCCCTCCCTGAAGAGACCAGACAACCTCACCCCTATTTCTGCCCACACTCCCCAGCTAGGAGGGATCACAGATCAAGCCCTGCCTCCTGGTCCATTCCACCAGACCAGTGCATTTCCCTCATATTTCCTGAGTTGTTTTTTTTTTTCCTCAGTTGTACAAACAACAAATTGTTCTGCTCAGTCTCTTTTGATGGAAGGCTTTGCTGGTGGCAATTAAAAAAATCTTTATGCACAATACTCCTTTATATCCCACTGGAACAAACTGCAGAGATCTGATTTTGTTACATCTGAAACCAGGTGGCAAACACGCCAACCAGACGGGGTGACTGAACTGCCTCTGCTGCAGTCTGCTCCTCCAGAGCTCGCAGCGGGAGGGCGGCTGCGCAGAAAACCTCCGTTACTGAGGGAAAGTCACAACCAAACCTCTTCCTGGAAACCAGCAATTTGTTCCCCGAGACGCAGACAGAGGGAAAGGAGCATGTGACTGAGAACACCTGAGAGATAAACAGGGGACTCTGGACGATCCCATGTATGTGATAATGGATCTGGGAACCTGCCCTGTGTTTTCACCCACTCCACGCTCCTGGTTTTGAGAGTATCAGGTGCAGAAACTCACCCACAGGGGAGATCTGCTGGAAGATATTATTGACTGGCAAACCCTCCTTCCGCAGAGACCAGCACTCCACGATGCTGCTGTTCTGGTTGGAAGCACAAAGCAACACCTGCAAAACAAAACTCATGCTGTGACCACGGGCACAAGCTTCACGGCAGGGACAGACAAAAAGGCACTACCCTGTTGTGTTTTCTGCCCCTCCCTCCTCCATTTGAGGCTCCTTCCAGCCAGTTTATCCTCCAGCAGTGAAAAGCAGAGGACTGTGCTGGCCACATGAGGCAGTGAAGTCTCTGGGCCCAGCTAGGAGGGCAGAGGCTGAACTCTGCCACGTGTGATCACGGCCTGGGCCCCTTCCCATCACAAAGCCAGTGACCTGCTGGTGTTGCTGTGCCCATCATAAGCCAGACACAACGGGAAGGGCAGGGACAGAACTGACTCTGGTGACAGAGCATACACCGTGTTCCCTGTCCTGACCAGGGGAGAGGTTCAGGCCTCCCTGAGTCACTTTGCTTTCCAGAATTGTATTATCAATCCCCTGGCACATTGAGTTAAGCTGCTAAATTAAGTCACGCAGATCAAGAGCTCCAAGTGTTCTGGCGAGAGGTTGATTTGAAGCCAAGACCTGAAGATGAAACATTTCACATCCCAGACCCTCCTGCACAGCCCGCCAGAGCCAGATCCAGACAACAAACCTGGCAAAGCACAATCAGGCTAACGAGGGATGGGGCTTTTCTGGCTCTTCTCCCTGAATGGGGAACTCAGCTGTTACACCCCTGGCTGTCTGGGCCCATTTGAACTGGTGGCACTACCAGAAGGAGCAGCCAGAAACACAAAGGGCACGGCAGGACCCGGCTGTTCAGCCCAGAGCCAGGGGGGGAAGCCAAAGGGGAGCAAAGAGCACCTTTTCTGCTGGTCCAGCGCCGCCCCGCCCCGCCAGCAGCTCACCTGCTCCGACATGTCCCGGGCCAGGAACTTGAGGTGGGTGATGGCCGGGTACTTGTCCTTGCGGGCAGGGTCCGTGGTGCAGCGCATGAAGAGGGAGGGCAGGATTTCCGTGTCTATTTTGCACTTCTCGTTCACCACGCTGACGCAGACCTTGTAGAACTGGACGGGGGAGGCGCTGCTGCC